CCTGAATCTTCTACTGTTTGCCTTAGTCAATTGTTTTCCTCACTTATTTGTTCTTCAATTCAACAAACATTTATTAAACACCTACCATGTGCAAGGAAATCTTTGTGTTAGCCCTGTAACTTCCAAACCTCCTATTCATTTCCACTGGTTGTGATTACCAGACACCTAACTGAGACTGACTATAAAGGATATGTGCTTCCACATTCTTTTGAAAAATCATTCCCCATTAAAAAGTCAATTCAAGAAATGTACCAGGACATCCTCTGGCACCAGTTAACATTTATTTATCAATCCCAAAAGTAGCTCAAGAATTAAGTTATTTGTAACATAATACACTGAAATTAATTTTCTTCCAAAGACTTTCCTGGCATCACTTAGTACATTGACTGCTTCTGAAAAGAAATCTTGTCCAGCTTCAAAGATGATTATTGGGAAAATATGTCATTCGGTGTGATTGCTCGTCAAAACTTTGTGCCAGGAAAAGTCATACACAAATGCCCAGAATTCAGCATACTTCACTCTTTCCTCTCCACTTGTTTTGTGTGACCTCCAAACCCAATCCCTGTAGGGCCAAAATTTTTGGCATAGCAAACTGAAAGAAAGGAAATAAGAACGTGGAAAAAGACAGAAAACAGCTTAGTCAATGAGGTTATATTATTTCATTCTGATTCAGTAAGTTCATTTTATCTGTTAATTTTAATACACTTTACATGATAAGTATTTTTCTGAAAATCTCTGTGAATGCTGGTTGGTATTCTGTGGTTTTATTTCCACTGAATGCTAGGATTCCAAGATTCTATTCCTCATGAATGATGAGAGTCTTGGGATCTGTAACTATACACTCATAAATACTGAGAATCCTCTCTGCTAACTTCTTTACACCTTCTGAGCAAGCTAAAACCTCAGAGGGCTCTGATAATGTGAATGATCTCCCCCAAGGCAACTGAGTTTTGGTGGTGTTTTTGTTTCTTTGTAGGAATTGGGGTAAATTTTCTTAAAACTGTGTCTACTTATAGCTTTAATTTTTTTTTTCTTAAATCTGGCTCTACCTGTATCTTAAAATTTTTTTTCTAAAAATTGGACCTACTTGATATCCACTTAAAAAGTTTAAGCTAAAGGTGTAACTGACAAGCTGTTGCCTACTTTGCAGCAAGAAATCTCAGTGTAGTTAGCTTGCCAAGAGGAAATCATGTACCTAACACCACTAGTAGCTATAACTTGTATTTAGTTGTGTGGACAAGCATTGTCACCCTTTAAGTGAAATTGCTGGCTTAAAGGCCTAAATTCTGTGGGGCATTTCACTTTTTGGGTGAAACGAAATGGACCAACTCCAGTTCTGAGAGCCAGCTCTTACTGTATCTAATCATTAGTGTTCCATGCTTTCATGATAGTAGTTTGACTTTTGAAGCACTGGTTAGAGTGGGTGGTGAAAAGAAAGAGAATTTTAGAAGAATAGTGCTGGAGAAAGTCTGGCCTAACCAATTCATTTTGTGGAGTTCAATCTAAGCTAGTTCAACAAGTTTAAGTGACTTATCCAAGATCCCACAGCAAGACAGTGACAGATCCTAGAATCAGAATCTAGACCTCAGTCAGAATCATTGCTCTGTCCATTCCTAACCAACGTCCATGTAGTAGTAAATCTAGGATCTGGGGAAAACCCCATCGTTCATCCTTAGAAGCCACGAGGTACTCACTATAGGGATAATAAGACCTCACGTTTCTGAAAAGAGGCACATTTCCTCCTCAATTCCATGAGAGGAAAGCCAGTAAGAAAAGAGCCATGGAGAATGAGGTTGAGAAAAAGTAACTATGACAGGAATAGAAATGAGATTTTGGGAGACATAAATAAAAGAGAGTTGCTGAACACAAGGTACATGTAAGAACCTTTGAGATTAAGCTGGAGTTAGGTATAGGGAATATCCAAAGAGCAATGCAAATGTGCAATACAGCCCATGTTGGTTGTAACTAGAAGGCAACATTCACTAATGATTTGTACTGGGCAAATGATGTAGAAGACATAAAAGGCCATCTATGAGCAAAAAAGGAAATGGGCTGGCCAGATAGTGAGAGTAACATATAAGAGTCAGCCCCAGTAATTCATGGATATTTATGAAATAATCAAAGAACCAGAGGAAAGCTTCTCTGGAAAAAGCCACTTGGGTCGGTGGCTCTGGCAGCAGAGGACCTGGATTCAAATCCTGCCTCTGATGCTTGTTAACTTGTGTGACCTGTGGCGTCATTTCACCTCCGTAAGCCTCAGTTTCTTCCTCTTTAAAATGAGAGGGCAGATGGATTAAATGGTTTCTGAGGTCCTTTCTATCTCAAACTCTATGATCCTATGAGAGTGTAGGGAAAAAATATGAACACCAGTTGAGAAGGAGTGAATATATTGGAGTTAGATTCAGGAAGAGAGTTCCCACACTGATGATATCAGAGAAGGAACCCATGTCAGTGTAGGGGAAATGAAGGGGAGATGTGACATTTGAGACAAGTTAGTCAATGATCACTCTTCTCCGCCATCTGGGAGGAGACTGGGTTTTCTTTTTTTTTCTTAGGCAATTGGGGTTAAGTGACTTGCCCAGGGTCACACAGCTAGTAAGTGTCAAGTGTTTGGTCTGAGGCCAAATTTGAACTCAGGTCCTTCTGACTTCAGGGCTGGTGCTCTATCCACTATGCTACCTAGCTGCCCCTGAGACTGAGTTTTCTTGAGGAGTGTGGTACCATAGTGACAGTGGTGAGGGCAGGAGATTGAAGCTGGCAGAGTGTATGAAAGGAAAAGGAGAGTGTTGTTGCCAAGGCACAGGCAGCCAGAAGGAAAGAGAAGGGAAGGTGGAGATTTTGTTATAGACAGACAGAATTATATATGAGAACTTCAGAGCATTTTTAGTGCTGATTGCTAGGGCCTGAGAATATATCATCTGCCTCTATGCTTTCATTGATGCTTTGAACAACTCCAGTCACGTCATCCCCAGAGTAACAATTAATCTTGCCCCTACCACCATCCCCAAGGTATGGGGCTCAGGACTTCACCCTGGGCTGGGTTCTGGGTAAGGGATTAAATGGGCAGAATGACTAAAACTGTATTGAGTTTGGCATGCCCTTTCCCCTGAAGCAGTCTTTGCCCTCATCAAAGAACCCAAATCCTATGATTGCTCAGAAGGCTGCCCTGACAGAAAGGCAAAGAAGGCCCTATGGCACAGAGATGCTCATGAGGCAACTTGACATTCCTCTCCTCTCACTCACCTTTGCAGTAAAGTTCTCCATCTTTGTCAGTGACATTTGTAGATTCCAAGCTTTTCCCACAGATGGCACAGCGGAAACAAGTCTTGTGCCAGGGCTAGGGAGTAGAAGGAAAGATGTCACAATGCTTTTTATACTGCAGGACAGTACTGAAGCCATATGAAAAGATACAACCAATTCTTAGAAAATGTAGGTGGCTATTGACCAGGATGGGCTCAGAAGAAAAATCCAGCTGAATCCAATTAAATTTAGAAATGAGGGGTAAGTAAAGGTGTTGTTTAGTTTTAGCCAGGAAGGCTAACTTGATTTGAACATGTCCATTACTTTTATCATCCAAGTAACAACCTAACACTGTGTGGCAAGCATATAACATTGAGTTGGAATTTCAAATTAAGCTTGTAGCTAAGACAAAAGGAAAAGAGCCAGTCATCCAAGTAATTCAATCCAATGAAATACTTTTGCTTTCGTTATTTGTATATTTTAGACAAAGGGGATTGTGTTGGTTTATCCCAAGTCTTCACAGCAATTTGAATAACTCATTTAATAGAGCCTCCCAGTTCCATTCCTGACTCGCTAGACTTTTCCATCTCATACCAGCAGTCTTCTCACTCTGAAGATGCCTTTGCTTTGCAGCCCTCTCCTCTGATTGGTGAGTCACTGGCTTGGACCACCATCTTATAAGATACCAAAGACATGCTCATTTCACTCCCGGATCTATTTCTCACTCTTCGAATTTCTGTACCTCCTCATTAGCACCCTTACCAGAAAGTTCCTAGCTCCATCTACCGTATGCTCTCTTTCTAGCTCCCTTTGATATGTTTTCTTCCCCCATTAGAAGGTAAACTTTTTGACAGTAGGGAATACAGTAAGTGCTTTATAAGTGCTTTATCTGTCTACCTACTTTGGAGGCTTATAAAGGGCTCTTCAAAGAAAAAAAACTTGTGAGGTTTTTTATTTATTTTATTATTTTAATTATATATTATTTTATTATTAATTATTGTTTATATATCATTTTATTTATTTAATTATCAAGAATAATTAGTTAACTCAGGGAAGAAGGAAGGGAATGAAAGAGTGGGAGAATTTGGAATTCAATTTTTTAAAAAATGAATGTTAAAAATTATTTTACATGTAATTGGGAAAACAATGAAATATTTAAATAGAAAGAAAAAAGATTGTTGAACAGCACCCCCAAAAATAAAGAAAAATTAGTTAAAATAGTACATTGGATGTCCCATGCCTTCCCACATTCCCTTCTCCCTTTCTCCCTCTCTGGGCCTTGTGGATAAATGTTAGACTTCCAGGGAGGAAGACCTAAGTTCAGATCTTGCCTTAGATATTTATTTGCTATGAGATAGTAAACAAATCATCCTTTCTGAGCCTTACTTTCCTCATCCATAAATGAGGATAATAATAACCCCTAACTCACATGACTGTTGTAAAGATCAAATAAAATAACATATATATAAAGTGCTTTGCAAGCCTTAAAGCACTATGTAAATCTAAGTATTATTATTAGTGCTCCTCCCTAAAAAATTACCTTCTTATCTACTTTGTATGTAATCTGTATATCTTCCATATGTGTATAGTTGTCTTTCCCCTCCCCCTTAGAATGTAAACTTCTTGAAGACAGGGACTGTTTTTGCATTTTTCTTTGTATCCTCAACGTATAGAACAGTACCCGGTATCCCATAAGCACTTAATAAATGCTTATTGATTGATTGATTGTAATATAAGTAACTTGGATCCCTACCCTCTAGGAGCTCACAGCCTAGACAGCCTATGCCAGTACAAAGAGTATTCCAGCAGCCAAGAAGGGGAGAGCTCAGTTCTGGTTGGAGGAATCAACAATTCTAGATTGATTGATATTCTTTCTCCTCACTTTCCACCACGCAGGTGAGTTCTTCCCCAGTTGCAGCATTCACAGCAATAGCCTCTCCTCCATCTCCATTAGGAGTAGGATGTCAGAGGTTGGGGGAGAAGAGTCCCAGGGTGCTATACTCACATCTGTGCCCCATACAGGGTTTCATCATGTCAGATCTGTGGCCTTGAGCTGGCACAATTCGTGGTGCTTGCCTCAAACACCAGAAGTATTAGTTATGGCTCTTCTCAGGGGCATTTCTTTTCTATTTTTGATGATTAACTCTAAAATTATATTAGAGGTGAGAGTCACCAATCACTGTTACAAAAGCCTTCTTTCCCCACCCCAACCCCAAAACCAAAAAATGCTAACTCAATTCCACACTTCAGGGTATGTTTCAGAATAATAGTCATAAGCAATTGATAATATGAATTTCTTTCAGTGTCTCCTGGTTTCTTGAATTCAAAATGCAAGCAAAAATGTTTGCCACCAAAAATGAAGAGAGAAAGAAGGTACTCCTTACTTTGCCACCTCCCATTATTCTTTCAGCAGCATAAACTGATTTGCCACAGCGAGGGCATTTCTCCACCTCACCAAACTTGGGGGTAAATTTGGAAGGGTTGCTGGTAGTTGACCGAGCTGTCTTGGGGGACCTAATGGAAAAAAGGTAGGTTAGCGGTTCACATGACTTCATTTTACCAGTGGTAGTTAATTTCCTGAGACAGACATTAAAATAGAAAGAGCAGGTGGCCTGGATCTTGGGCCTGGTTCAGGCACTGACTCTCCCTTCCCCTCTCTGGGCCTTAGTTATCTCTTGTCTAAAATGATGGAGATGAATGAGATGATCTTTAAGGTCCCTTCTAGTGCTAATATTCTATGAGTCTAGGTTCTAGTTTTTCCTATTCAGCTTGGGGCCCTATTATTGTATGTATAGTGACTTGAAGCATTCTGTCTTCCTCTCTAAAGAGAAATTTGAAAATTTTATTGTAGGGTGAGGATGGATTGTTGATACATGTCCAAAAGCAATAGTATAGAATTTCTCATTGCAATTCAGTCTAACGTGTTTTACTCAAAGGATGGACCCTCCATGGGAGACCAAAAACAAAGCAAACAGATAATATAATCATAAAATTATAAGGTCAATCAATAGGCATTAATTATTAAACTTATTTAATCTAGAGTTGGAAAGATCCTTTGTAACACTTGTATACACTCTTGTATAGCTAATCAGCATATTCACAAATGTTAAATATTTCATGCTCACCACAACCTTATCTAGCAGGTAGAGGAAGGATTATTATTCCCATTTCACAGATGAAAAAACTGAGGCTTAGAGATTTCAAGTACCCAAGGACAAATGCCTGGTAAATCCCACAGCTAAGATGAGAGACCAGGCATTCTGACTCTTCCTATGACACCATCACAATAACAAAATTAAGAACACAATAAGAACATTCTCAATGCAATCTTTTTTCCTCCAAGTGGAGACCCCATTCTGGAATTGAATAATAAGGCCAGTTAATGAAAAGAAACTTCTCTTTTATTTCAGGATTTCATATCCTTTTTTGTTGTTTTTGTTATTGCTTTTCCTTCCTAAATTTTTAGACAGACTATTGAAGGGATATAGATTTAAGCAGCCAGGAAGTAGAATGGTTAAAGCCCTAGAGATGGGTAGACCTGAGTTAGAATCCTTCCCAGCTAGTCATTTAACCCCTGTTTGCCTCAGTTTCCTCATTTATAAAATGAGGTTGATAAAAATACCTACCTAAAAGAGTTGCTGTGAGGATCAAAAGGGATATATGTATATATATATATATATATATATATATATATGTGTGTGTGTGTGTGTGTATATATATACACACACATATACACACACATATATACACACACACATACACATACACATGTATATATATGTATATATGTATATATGTATATACATCTATCTGTATGTATATGTGTAAATGTATATATACATATATGTGTGCATGTGTGTATAATACTTTGTAAACCTTAAAAGGCTATATAAAACATTAGCTAGTGCTGTTGTTGTAGTTGTTGTTATAATATATACAGTCTTGAAATGATCTGAGATTTATTCATTTGTTCAAGTGTCATGCACTATGGGAAATACTGAAGACAATGCAAAGGTAAGTGACTTAGATCTCTACCTTCCAGAAGCTCACAGCCTAGATATCCTATGCCAATACAAAGAAAGTATTCCAGCAACCAAGAAGTGGAGAGCTCAGTTCTGGTTGGAGGAGTTAACACATTCTAGAATCATAGTATGTCGAGGCTGGAAGGCGCATTTGAAATCATCGATTCCAATTTCCTCACGTTACAAACAAGCCTCCGTTGAAGAGGCAGCCCAGCTCAAGAAACCTGGAAGTCGACCATCTAAAGATGGATACAATTTCAACAGGCACAGACAAATGGAATGATGAAGGAATTCTAAGCCAAGGACACGGAGGTATTAGATTCAGAGGTCCAGGGAATGGGAGTAATTAGTCCAAGTTGACTAGACTAGAGGGTGCTTGAGGGAGAATAGCCTACAATGGTAAATTGAGCCCTGTTTGTGAGTTCCAAGCCACCTGGTACAGATAAATCAGGTGTGTTTCCCTACCTATGTTATTGCCAAGTGATTAACCTTTAATTTTTCACTTGTCTCTATAAGTGTTGTTTCTCTCCAATAGAATTGATGTCCCTTGTGGGCAGGGATTGTTTCATTTTTATCTTTGTATTCCTACTGCCTGGCACCAGTAACTGGTGCCTTCCCTTTGAGATCGTCTGCCACTCATACTGAATATGGCTTGTGTGCACTTAGTTATTTACATGTTATCTGTCTCCCTGCATTAGAATGTGAGCCTCATGACAGAAGGTACCAAGTTGTTTCGCCTTTCCATCTATCCCCATTGTTTAACACAGTGCCAATAGGGAATAAGCACTTGATAACTGCTTATTGTCTGACTGACTGACATTGGTTACATGCTACTGCAAAGATTCGCCAAAGCCATTATACTAATGCCACTGGGAAAGCAGTTGATTATTTATTTAGGATATAAAGAATTTCCTGCCAAGCCACCCTTTTAGATGATTTGTAATTATTCATCTTGTGATCCAGGGGTGAGTGGGGAGCCAGAGAAGAGATTTTTTTGTATTGCTTATAAGATAAGAGTACACAGTACCATAGTGACTTCAGCTATATTAATGTGATTGACATTTAATCTCCCAAAGGTTAAAAAAGGAGAGGCTGTGAAGGTGTCTAAACCTTCAGACCCCATAAAGTCCATGCATTTCAGGTTCTCCATCAACATGCAAACCAAGAGCCCTTGTGTAAGTGTAATTGCCTGTTAGAATGGCAGACAATTTAAAGAGCCTTTAGAAAAATGGAACATTGTTTAAAAACAAAAAAAAACTTGGTCAAATTGACTATTCCCATTATAGACCCATCAACACTATAGACCATTCTTCCACTTCCAGAAAATGTTGCTATGGAAACTAAATGAAGTACCCTAATACTTAGGTAATAGAACATCAACAAAATAGAGAGGTGATAGGATTTTAACGTACTGTTGGAAATGTAATCCAAGATGTTCACCAGTATCAGTGCTGAGGCAGCCAGCACCTTGTCCAAATCCAATTCCTTTGGGGCCGTATTTCCTCCCGTAGCATGATTTACAATAGATCTCAGATTCATGAGCTGCTACTGTTGTACTGTCCAGAGATTTCCTGCAAGCCACTGAAAGAGGAAACTTGGTATTAGGGGTACAGATTGTGTCCGAATATCATAATCCTCCTAAACAATGTCTTTCAAAGTAAGTTCATTATTAAGTTTGTATCAGTGATTGGGAGGCGATGGAGTGGATAGAGTGCGGATCTGCGGTCAGATAGACCTGAGTTCAAATCTGGTCTCAGGCACTTAATAGGTGTGTGACTCCAAGCAAGTCACTTCACTGCTGTCTGCCTCAGTTTCCTCATCTGTAAAATGGGGATAAAAATAACATCTGTCTCCCAAAGTAGTTGTAAAGATCAAGCGAGATATTTGTAAAGTACTTTGCTTAAAGTGCTATGCTTAATAATTCACAGCATACCTCCCATTTAAAAATCATTTTATTTTGTATTGTTTTTATATTAATGTCATTTCCAGATATTTCCCTTTGTCCCCAAAAATTGAATCCTTTGAACAAAGAAAAACAGTTCAGCAAAACCACTGTATTTTCTGCCCCCATTGTCCCATCCCTCCCTCTCTGCAGAGAGGAGGTAATATATTTCATTAACCATTTTCCATGACTAAGATTTGACATTCCGATTACTCAGTTTGGCTTCCTTTTGGCATTCTTTCTGTTTACATTATTATAATCATTACACAAAATATTCTCCTGACTATGCCTCTCTTTGTGTAAGTTCATTCAGTTTTTCTCATGTCTCTAAACTCTCCATAGTCATTATTTCTTAGGGCCCAAACACGTTCTATTCCATCCATATACCACGTTGTTTGGCCAAGTGATGATGGGTAGGCACTTTGTTTCTAGGTCTTTGCTACCACATAAGTACATTACGAATATTTCATTAGATATGGAGTCTTCTATTCTTTTGACTTCCTTGGGGAATGTGCCAGTTGGACACTGGTATTGTGACTGCTTCATCAGAGTAAAAGGTTTGGTTATTTTTCTTGCATGATTCCAGATCATCAGCCAGAGTAGTTAGACCAATTCACAACTCAAACAATACAGTAAAGTGTGTCTGTCTTACTATAGCCCATCCAACTGGAGTTGCTTCTATTTTTTTGTTGGATTGAATTGGATCTTTCCCAATTTACTGGGTTTGAAGTAAAATTTCAGAGTTGCTTTAATTTGCATTTTTCTTATTATTAGTCATTTAAGCCCCTTTTTCATATCTTCATGGATAATTCACAGTTCTTATTTATATCCTCTAGCAGTTTAGCTGCTGGGGAATGGTTCTTGGTAATCGATGATGATGATGATATTTGCATGATGCTTTAATGTTTAAAATGTTTAAAAACATTTGCAAATGTTTTATGATTTTTTAAATTTTATCCTCACAACAACCTAGGGAAGTAGTTGTTGTTATTCTTATATCCGTTTTGCAGAAGAAAAAACTGAGACAGACATAGGTTGTGACTTGCACATGGTCGTCCATTTACATAGCAAATGAGATGGCTCCAGTCTTGGGTTGTCTCCCATGCCTGGAATGTTCTCCTTTCTCTGCTCCAACTACTGACCTCTCTGGCTTCCTTTGTCCCATCTAAAATCCCACCTTCTGCAGGAAGCCTTCCCCTACCCCTCTTAATTCTAGTGCTGTGTATATATTTGTTTGCACTTTGTCTCCCTCATTAGATTGTAAGTTCCCTGAGGGCAGGGGCTGTATTTTGCCTCTTTTTTGTGTCCCCAGTGCTTAGCACAATGCCTGGCACATAGTAGGCACTTAATAAATGTCTATTGATTGATTGGTTGAACAGATCTGAACTCAGATCTTCCTGACTCCTGGTTCATACATCTTTGACAACAGACTTTTATAGTGATATCTGATACTAAGACTTTATTCTTTTATCTTTCAGATGTGCATCGAGTGGTCTAAATTTTAATTCAAAATTATTTTATTCTTTCTAGGAAGAAATTCCTTACTAACAAAATGACATGATCTTGAGTAGTTGGTTTCCTTCTGAGAACAATCACAACAGAAACCTCTCAAAATGAATATTTCAGTTATATGTGTCGTGATTTCTTTGGGGCTAAGACTACAACACTAAAAATAAGAATGGAAAATGGGAAAACTAAACTTGAAAATTTAAGGTTTTTTCCTCCAAGCATACAAACTATGTGAATGATATACTTGATATTGTCTATTCTTACCAGATTCTTGTTATCATGAAGCTACATTTCGAATCTGTTAGATCTTTTTGAGTAATACTTTCAACCTTTCATAAAAGCCTTACTGACTCTAGTACCTCATTAAAGTGTAAGTGGTGATCGTGGCTTCTCAAAGGTCATACCAACAGAATACAAATTCTGGTAAGCTCTGCCATACTGGAAAGGGTTTGAGTATGGTCCCAGAGATGTGTTTACTGAGTACCAGCCTAGCTAGTACCAGCTAGAGAGACTCTTTAATAGCCATTAGTCACTAGTTAGTGAATTCCTAGACCATGGAGACCATTGAAATAGGTAAAAATATGAGCTGATCCCCAAGCCTACCCAATCCCCTTCTGTTTCCATGGTAGCAGAAGTATAGTGGCACAAAAGGGAGACAGAGGGTGCTAAGAATGATTTCTAAACCATCTATAAATAAATATTTAATAGTTGATATCCTAAATGTTAGATCTTTTTCTAATGAACAATGAGTTGATTCAGACCTGGAGGAACTATACCAACTCCAAAACGGATTCTTTCTACAAACGAAATCAAGCAACATAAAATTACACATAAGGAAAAGACTAGCTCATAGATACTCTTTGAAGAAATAAATAAAGGAGTTGCCTTGGTTGGTTTCATTGCACTCTAAAGGGCAACAAGAATCATGTCATATCTTGGTTGGTCACTCACTTTGCAGTGATCACAATGAGCATAAGTAAAGGGGCCATCATGAAGACAATTTTAGCTTATTCATCAGTATCAGTTGCAGAGAATGAAGAAGCATAAAAATCTAGGAAGGCTTTATAAAGAATTTGTAAAACCCTCTTAACCAAGGCAACATTTTGAGAGGATGATAAATAATGTTCAAGTCTATCTTTTATGAATACTTTCTTGCAGAAGATTGTTGAAAGGCATTGGACTTGATAAGTATCAGAGAGAGAGAGAGAGAGAGAGAGAGAGAGAGAAGAGAGAGAGAGAGAGATTGACTATAGCTTAACAGATAGCAAACAATTTATTACCTAAATGGTAAGTATTTCGGAAGGATAAAGATAAGAAGGTGCTACATATAATTACAACAATTCAAACATGAACTATTTAAACATCTAAACTATTTAAACAAGCTGTTGGTAGTGAAAAAATGGGAAATGTATGAAAGAAAGTATTTGGCTTTGGTTATTGGCCTTTCCTAGAGAAGCTGAAGAAATGAAAAACGATTGCCCCAATGAGTAGGTAAAGAGAGTCCAGAAAGAGGCATAATCAAAAAGCACTTGACCTCATTGTCAAGCAGAAAGACATTAAAGGAAAGAAAGAAGCTCAACATGAGTTTAAAATGTAAAATAATTTTAAAACTTTGTAAAAGATGCCATAATATTGCTTGTAATTTTTTTTCTCACAAAATACGAAAAAGAGACAGTAGAGGAGAAGATAAGTTTGCAGAAATCTTGGCATGAGACTCAACTGTGCTATATTTTTTTTCTCAGAGCATTTAAAAATGAAATTGAAAAGAAGACAACAAAAAGGTACAACATGGAACAGCTCTGCAAATATTTCCATAGCAAGCTATTGGCACCATCAGAACTCCAGGCCACTTCAGTGCATCTGGAATCATCTTCAGTGACAGAATATCACCATTAGAATGCAAACTACTGAAGGGCATTAAGCTCAAAGTAGGTGCTTGATAAATGCTTGTCAATTGATTGAATGATCATCGTTAACATTAAAATACCACTGGTGTACTCACCACTTCAACCCACATTGAGTTATATGAGAAAATAGAAATTTGATGTTCAAAAAAGGGAAGTTGGTAAGAGGACTTGGACCCAAATAAATACATGATAAATACGTGATAGAGGCACCACAAGTTTCCAGGCATTCAGTAATTGAGGTTGAATATCTTAAAGAAGGGACATTTCCAAAAGAGTGAATGAGTTCAACTCCACACTGCTCTCTGCTTTTGAATTCTTTCCCCTCCTTATGCTGTCACCAATCATGCCTTGCCAAACCCCAGTCTTGGATTGCTGCCGTCATTAACCGCCTTCACTTCCACTCACGGACCCACAGGCTGCTGATTAGAGCTATAAAAAGTCATGCAACTGTGCTGACTGCAATCACTATGAATTTATGTTACATAATCTTAACTGAGCCCTGACTAAATGATGGCTACCCTTTTAAATCTCCCTAAAATATGAATCAAATGAGATAGTATTTATGAAATGTGCTTAACACAGTTCCTGGAACATAGTAGGCACTGTGTGCTTATGCCCTTCTTTCCTTCTACTCCTAAAAGATTCACTCAGCTCTTTACCACTGCAATTTGTATAAATCTTTTCATTCCTTCACAAGCCTTGCACAGCACCCTACCCCACCCCTCTGCTGAGGACTTACCCTCATATTTCACTGAAAAAAAAAATTGAAGCCATCCACCAAGAACTTTCTCTTCTTCCCTCACCTTTGTCTCACTTTACTCAGATCTCTTTTCCCACTATCTCCATCTTTGTCCCTGTTCCACAAGAAGTGGCCTTTCTCCTTACCAAAGCAAACCCCTCTATATTCATCTTTGATCCCATCCCCTCCTGTCTTTTCCAAAAGATAGCCCCCTTTGTCATCCCCACTCTCTCCCCAACCTTCATTCTCTACTTATCTATTGGCTCCTTCCCTTCTGCTTGTAGACATGCCCATTTAAATCCTTCAAAAAACCTTCACTTGATCTGTCCATCCTCACTGTCATCTTAAGTCTGTCCTCCCCTTCATGGCTGCTTCTTTGAGAAAGCTATCTGTACTCAGTGATTCCCCTTCTTCTCTTCTCACTAGATTGGGGAACTTTCGATCTTGAGGCCACATGGATTTGTTCTGTGAAGTTTGGATTCAGTCAAAGGGCTGTATTTGAGGACTTACAGGAACACAGGTGGCCTTGAGGCCGCAGGTTCCCAACCCTTGTTTGCAATCTGGATTCCAATGTGATTGTTCAATTGAAAGCGCTTTCAGTAAAGTCATTGTGGATCTTTAAAGTGCCAAATCTGATGACCCTTTCTCAATCCTCATCATTCTTGACTTCTTTACAGGCTCTGTCACTGTTTATCACCCACTTCTCCTAGATGCCCTCTTCTCTCTAGATTTTCATGACCCCTCTCTCTGCTGTTTCTTCTGCTCAATCTCAGTCTCCTTTGCTGGACTTTCCTCTAGATCATGCCCACTAATGGTAGATGTCTCCCAAGTCTCTGTCGTTTCCTCTCTGTATGTTATCTTATGTGGTGACCTTATCAGTTCCAATGATCTAAATTATTATTTATCCACTACTTAGTCCCCACTACTGGTTTTTTCATTTAGGTTATGTCTACTAATCTTGGGGGTCTCCTAACCCCTGTCCCAGACCTTCTCTTCTCCTTCGATACTATCTAATTTGACTTTACCAGTCAGTTTTGTAGGCTCAATTATCATTTCTATGCAGATAATTCCCAAATTTTTATATCCTGTCCTAACCTCTCTGCTGGTCATCTCACATGACCAACTGTCTATCAGACGTCAGATCCTTTGGTAAGCATCAGACTCAAACTGGATGTCCAGTAGGCATCTCAAACTCAACATGTCCAAAACAACTCATGATCTTTCTTCTCAAACTTCCCCCTATTCATTATTATGGAAGATACCGCCATCTTTTCAGCCACCCAGGCTCACAACCTCAGTGTCATCCTCAACTACTCTCTCACCAATTTTTTGCCAGGTTTTGTTATTTAGATCTTTGCAACTTCTCTCGTGTGTGTGTGTGTGTGTGTGTGTGTGTGTGTGTGTGTGTGTGTGTGTGTGTCCCCTTCTCTCTACCCACATAGCCATCGCCCTTGTGTAGGACTCATGTCTTCATATCTGAGCTATTTCAGTAGTCTTCTGGTTGGCCCCTCTGCCTCAGGTCTCTCCTCATTCTGAGTCATTTCCTCTCTAGAAACTGCCAAAATTATTTCCCTAAAGTATAGGTTTGGCCATGTCACTTCTCTACTCAACAAACCCGAATGGCTTCCTGTAACCTGTGGGATTAAATAGAAAACCCTTTCTGTGGCTTTTAAAGCCCTTTACAACTTGGTCCCTTCCTTTCTGTACAGTCTTTTTACACAAAACTCCCCTAGTATGGTGCTAGTTACTGTGGGACCACAGTAAGGTCTCCTGGTGACCTGTGAGCTGAGTCTTAAGAGAAACAAGGAATTCTAAGAGGTGGAGGTCAAGAACATTCCAGATAGGTGGAGTCTTTTATTCTGTAGCATCAGTCAATCAGCAGACATTTATTAAGAGATTATGACAAAGACATAGCTCTCCTTAAAAGCCTTGTTTATCACAGGCCAAGAATGAATTTTTTGCCATCCTATAGCGTTTTTTTTTTTCCGGTAAAGAGAATTCTTGGGTCAGGTACGAGTTGGATTAGATGACCCACAAGGCTCCTTCCACTTCTGAGGTTCCAGGATCCAGTGAGGGTGAATTTGCAAAATCCATCAGGATCTCCCTAGAGCTGTTGAAACCTGGATTATCGTTGTAGGAGTGTTTCTGTACAATTTCATGAGATGACTTTTAACAAACAATTTCTCATCACAAAACTAAAGGCATTGGCAATCTGCCATCACCAGAGAGTAACCATTTATTCCCCAGTTTTGTAATGATAATTATATTTACTGAGGAAGGTAAAGGATAATGGAAATGGGAGGGGGAGGTAGAGAGGGTAGATACAGTGTTCCTATTTCTGGAATGGAGTATCTTTTTCACTGCAACAAATGGAGCTAAAGCCCTTGAAGTGTTGTTAAAATAGCTCCCAGATATGGCATAACTTAGCAGCCCATGAGGAGCACAGAGGAGTTAGAGGTTTGCCAAGAGCTGGCCTGCTAAATTTGAAACTGGGCCTACCAAGGTGTGAGAGACTCAGTAGCTAAGGAGCAATTTGGAAAGGAGGGCCTCCTTCATCCCATTAGGGGCTGGTTTATGACCAAATTTGCACCGATGCAGCTGGTAAATAATAACATTTGCACAGGACATATGCTGGCTTTTTCATCACTCTAAGCTTCTGGCCATAGTGACATATTTGGTGCCTGTGAGAATAACCTGATAGGCTAATAATCCCAGGAGAATCCTAGGGACTGGTGCCCAAAGTGGAATCACTTGCTGGATTAACAGATACCCTACCACCTGCTCATACCAGGAGTTTCTTAACTATCTAGCTGTTTTACTTTTAAAAATGAAAATCCACAGATGGGCAGAACTAATGAATGAGAATTTAAAACAGAACAAAATAAATAAAATAGAAAAAGAACCACTCTTGGGCAAGTGTAAATTTGCTAATAGTTGGAGTCATAGGATGGTTCAGTGTTTTCTAAAGTCATCTCAAATGTCCCCTAGATCTATTACTATCACAGAAATCCATGTTTTGGCAGCTCTTTAGAGACTATGAGAACTCACAGAGTTGGAAGGGACCTAAGAGAGAGAGAGAGAGCATCCTGAAGTACTTGGAAGCAGACAGCCTGGATAGGAATGCTGGCTCTGCCATTGGCTCTGGTCCACCTTGGACAAGTCTTCATCTTTGTAAATCCCGGTTTATTCGTGGATAAAATGGAGACCAGCTGACACTTTTTACAAGACACAGGGCAGGTAGCTCCCCTGTTGTCTACCCAATAAAGTTCACAAGACAGGGTTGGGGCTGGAACTGGAACCGGATATTCCATGTGAAGAACTTTTTGTACTAATGCACATCAGCACCTCCTCCCCAGCTCTTAAAGTGTGGCTGAAGCACTGAAAGGTTAAGGGAATTACATCCAGAAGAGGGACTTGAACCCAAGTCTTCCAGTCTTAGATGCCAGCTCTCTATTCACTGTGACAAGTGGATAAAGTTCTCAAGAGCTGAAAAGGACATTTGAGATTCGCTGGTCTGAATTCCTCATTTTTTCAAAGGAGGACTCTGAGGCCTGCAAAAGTGATATCTTGGCCCAAGGTCACAGAATTAGTAAGTACGTAGGACATCCAGAATTTGACTTCTGAAGTCTTCTTACTTCACAGCTTGTGTTTATTCTTGCTCAGCCAGGTGATGCAGTAGATAGAACAATGGACCTGGAGTTAGGAAGACCCAAGTTCCAAATCCAGCCTCAAGATACTTATTGGCTGTATGACCCTAGGCAAGTCACTTAACCACTGTTTGCCTCGGTTTTCTCAGCTGTAAAATAGGGGTTGCTGTGAGGGTCAAATGAGGTAATGTTTGTAAAGCACATAGTACAGTGCCTAGCACATAGTAGGTACTGTATAAAGGGTCATTGCCTTTTTTCCCCCCTCCCCTCTGCTTTATTTGGGTTATTGAGTTTAAGTTGTTTAGCCCGTTGTCCAAGGCCTTCCATGATCTAGCTAGGCAAATATAACTCTAACCACCCTCTGCCCTGTTTAATGTGTCAGTGATAAGGACATCCATAGAAGCGCTTGATAAATGCTTTTTCACTGATTCCCTTCACTCCACCTATTCATTCATTCATTCATTCATTCATTCATTCATTCATTCATTGTATCCAATGTAGATTTGGAAGCAGCAACTGAACCCACAGGTTTATCACCCAACTTACTGCAGTGGAAGCAAGTCTTGTGGAAGCTTCTCCCATTGCACTGGATTTCCTCTGCATGATAGACTGTTTTTCCACAGGCCCCGCAGCTT